GGCCGTGTGGATCCTGGAGAATTATTACCACGATTTCCCGGTCTACAACCCCGCCCTGCTCAACCTCCCCAAATCCGTCCTGTCCAAGAAAATGTCCGGCTTTAAGGTCTATTCCCTCGGCGAGGGTGAGATTCCCGTTTTTTCCTCCATTTCTCCTGTTTTTTCCTCCATTTCTCCCGTTTTTTCCTCCATTTCTCCCGGTTTTTCCTCCATTTCTCCTGGTTTTTTTTTCCATCCCTGTCCTCGTGTTCCTCTCTGGAATTTTTTTTTGGTGGGATCTCTCTCACCTCGATCATTCTCCGACCCCGTTCTTGTGATCCCGCAGAGAATTCCACAAAAAAATTCCTTGGGGAATTGTCCTCTCTTCCCGTTCTCCTCCCGTTTTTCCATCCCTGTCTTCGCATCTCCCAGAATTTTTCTGGGGTCATACCCCAATCCCATTCTGACCTTGTTCCTCATGACCCCAGAGAATTCCAAAAATAATTCCATGAGGAATTGTCCTCTCCTCCCGTTCTCTTCCCGTTCTCCTCCCGTTTTCCCGTTTTTCCACCCCATCCTCGCGTTCCCCCTGGAATTTTTTTGGGGTCCCACCCCGATCCCGCTCTGACCCTGTTGCCGTGACCCCACAGAGAATTCCATGAACAATCCCATGAGGAATTGGCTTCTTCTCCCATTCTCCTCCCTTTTTCCCATTTTTCCACCTCACCCTCATGTTCCCCCTGGAATTTTTTTGGGGTCCCACCCCGATCCCGCTCCGACCCTGTTGCCGTGACCCCACAGAGAATTCCACCAACAATTCCACGAAGAATTGTCCTCTCCTCTCATTCTCCTCCCGTTCTCTTCCCATTCTCCCATTCTTCTCCCGTTTTTCCATTCCCCCGGAATTTTTTTGGGATGGGGATCTCCCCCACCTCAATCCCGCTCCGACCCCATTCCTGTGACCCCACAGAGAATTCCACAAAAAATCCCAAGGAATTGGAATCTCCTCCAATTCCTCCAACGGAATCTCCTCCAATCTCCTCCGACGGCTTCTCCTCCCGTTCTCTTCCCATTCTCCCATTCTTCTCCCGTTTTTCCATCCCCCCCGGAATTTTTTTGGGATGGGGATCTCTCCCACCCCAATCCTGTTCCAACCCCATCCCCATGACCCCACAGAGAACTCCACGAAAAATCCCACAAGGAATTGTCCTCTCCTTCAGTTCTCCTCCAGTTCTCCTCCCATTTTCCCATTTTTCCACCCCACCCTCACTTTTCCTCCGGAATTTTTTTGGGATGGGGATCTCCCCCACCCCAATCCCACTCCGACCCCATTCCCGTGACCCCACAGAGAACTCCATGAACAATCCCATGAGGAATTGTCCTCTCCTCCCGTTCTTCTCCCGTTCTCTTCCCATTCTCCCATTCTTCTCCCATTTTTCCATCCCCTCTGGAATTTTTTTTGGGATGTGGATCTCCCCCACCCCGATCCCGCTCCGACCCCATTCCCGTGACCCCACAGAGAACTCCACCAACAATTCCACGGGGCAGCCTCGGGCGGTGATCGCGGCGGCGGCGCGGCGACGCGACAACAGCCACAACGAGTTCTACTACGAGGAGGCGGAGCACGAGCGTCGGGTGCGGAAACGCCGCGCCAGGTACGGGTGGAGCTTCTGGAAAATTGGGAATTC